TACATATATTGCCTAATATACGCAATACTTAAATAAAATTATTATTTATATATACATATACAGGGGCGGATCCAGAGTCGAGGAACTGTGGGTCAAGCCATTTCAAGAGGCCATTTATTAGGGATGAAACTAAATAAGAAATGAATACCTAGTATAAGAAAAAAAAATGGGCTCATAAAAGTGTATGAGTAAGTGTATAAGTGTATTTATATTACATTTTAGAATTAGTGATACCACCGATAATGACTTACTTACGATTGATAAATATAATCTAATTTTATCAGCGCAACAAACGTACGGAATAAAATATGATTTACTTAACTTTCTATTAAAACGATATAATTTAAAATATAAATTATGAATTGAAAAATTTTAAATTTTGAATATACATGGCATTAATTTTTTAAATAACTCCAATGGGCCAACTGTCCAAGAGTCCAAATCAATGTCTAAAAAGAGAAAGAAATTTCCAAGAGGCCAATTTTGTCAACAAATATTAACTGTGGGTCAGCTGACCCCCTGAACCCTCCCTGTATATATATATTAAAAAAATGTAATATATGTAAATGACAAATGTATAATATGTCAGATAAATATTTACAGTTATAGAATACTTAAACTAATAGTTAATATTAATACCTAAATAATGTACTCGTATAAAATGTATGTCAATTTTAAATATATTTATTCTATATACATTTTATGTATTTAGTTGGTTAAAAATAAAATTATTTATTATTTTCTCGGTTTAAACTTAGATGCTAATATTTTTACATAATTTATTTGTGATATTTCATTTGTATTTAATTAATGTATTAAGTTATTAATGAAATTTATTTTGTCTTTAATTGCTTTTTTCACTTTTTTAATTTCTATTGTAGAAGAGTATATTAAAATGTCCGTATCAATTTGTATGGATTTTAATACTTTTAAAAATGTATAAACATTGGGATGTGTCGACACAAAATAAGAATTCAATTTTCTATGAAATGATTCACAAGCATTAGTTGACCTTTGTGAACTAGCTGTCATTGTAGCAAACATACTTGATGGAAAAGTGGAGTTTTCATCAACATAATTATCAGTCAAATAATCGTCAAATTTAATGACGTTATCATAATTTGGTTTAAGTTCACCAAGATCTACAGCAAATACGTCACCCACCTACAACATAAAGTTATAAAATTACTAAATTGATAATTTATTCTTAATTAAGTTATTGAATTACTTGTTCTAGATTCAAAATGGAGGGCCAATACGTAACTGAGATACTGTCCAATTTCATTGTTTTTCGAATACTCAGTAGTTAATCCGATTTGCTGTATTTTGCGCCACCAAGATTGTCCCAAATGAAATCGACAGCCCATAATTTTAACGTCCGGACAAACATCGGAAATTGCATTATGAATAGCAGTTTCGAAATCAACAAATATAATTTCTGGTTTAAATACTTGATTAAAATATAAACACTTATTTTGTAGTTCCATAAAAGCTCGGTTATATGTTTTTTGATTCTTATTTTTAAGCAAAAAGAATACTAAAGGTATATAATGATCATTAAGTATTCCATGAATTGTAAATAATTGACAAAAATATTTTGTACAGTATTTAAAAGTTCAATCCACGTATAAATTATTTAATTTACTTAAAAACACAATATTCTTTTTGCACAAAAACATTAGTAAACCATTTGATACATCTTTTACTAATAAAAAAATTATCTACCTTAATAAATGTCAAAACTTCAATTCTATGTTGTGGCAATTTAGGATATAGTAAAATCCGAGCGTGATGCAAGTTATTCTTTATATAAATCACGTCTGAAGTCGTTAATGTATTTGTACTTACATTATGTTGTAGAATATGTGCATGAAAAAGTTTTGATGGTCTTTCAGAGTATTGTTCTATAGCTTTTCGTTTCAGATGGTTGCTTAGTACTTGTCTATTAATTTTTTTTTCTGAGTCCTTCGTACATGTATGAATTATATTGATTGTTGCGGGAGGCAATTCGAGTATGGCGAAATTCCGTTGGTTTTTCGAAAACCGTTTTCGGGACTTTGTTCATATTGCGCTCTGAAAAAATCTTCTGCCCCAGAGAAGTATGCAAGCACATAGCTGCTTATGAACAAACGGAAATTAAAGCTGCAAATTCTATTGTGGGGCTGTGGCGGTGTTAAAATTTACTTGATTTAAATCGAGGAATATATCAAAATTAATGTTTCACAACTCAAAGAGTGTCAATCCGGGATGAACGCATGTAAAAAGTCGGATGGTGAGGTTTGAAAAAATATCATAACCTTAGTATTGTTGTTTATTAATCTTTAATGATAAGTACATAATTGGTAATAATAATATTTCGTGGGGAGGTTCTCTTCGCAGCGAATAGCCCGACAGCGAGTAGTCCGGCAGCGAAACGGTCGCGGCGAATAGTCCGGCGGCGAAAGTGTCCGGCGGCGAAACGGTCACGGCGAAATATCCTAAGCCCCAAACATCAACATTTCTTTAAAGATAAATTTTACCTAAAATTTAATAATTTTTATACCTTACAACTTCCCACCTTTTTCATTAACTCCGTGATTATAAAATGGACCAACAATGTCAACACATTTTCAGAAATAAGCCCTTTTATAAGAGGTTCCATCAGTGTAACAAATGCAATAAGAGGACAATATGGAAACCGATCGTAAAATGTTCATATTGCAAGATTTATTGCCATCGAAGGTACCTACAGCAGAACAGCAACAGATGTAGCAGGTCAACGGATCACGTCGAATCAATGGCACTGGTAAATATTTTGCAAATAGATCGCAACACGTTAAGTGTTACTATCCACTGGCGCAAAACTAAAAAAAAAATGTCCGAATCCGTGATTTTTGATTGGAATCTAATTACTTAGGCGATCCTACCTGTACTTATTAATAACTTTGCCTAATGAATTTATTTGTACGTTGATCAGTGACGGTGCTAGAGTTTGCGAGGCCCTGGGCAAAATAAATGTTGGGTCTTATAATTTATATTAATAAAATATTTTAAGTTTAGTTAAATCAGAATCGCGGGGCCTTAATTATAATTTAAGGCGCGGGGCCCTGGGCAACTGCCCACCCTCTCGCCCCGTCCCTGATGTTGATATTCGCCAACTAATATATTTTCGAAATCTTTATTATCTACACATATAATTAGTTAATTAGAGATGATAAAATGCGATTGAGAATGATATCAGGGCTGTTGGTGTGTGTGTAGGGGATGTAAAAAAATCGAGACAAGTAGAGGTTTAGGACAGGTTTTTTTAGGAATATTTCAGTCTTCAGCAACATCTGCTGTAAAAGTCTGGCCACGCTTATGGAAACTATATGGTTATAACTTGATTAATATAAATATGACAGTATATACTGTCATATATTAATCAAGTTACTTGATAATCGAGCTACATACATTTTGCGATTACCACATTGATACATACAGGTATTGATGAAAATGCGACTTTTCCCTCATATCTTTGGTCATCGTGTAACATATCAGACGAACAACAACAAATGCCTGTGAGGCATTTCACAAATATTTTTATTCAACCCATTCAAATATTTTTGTTTTTTATGAAGTTTTAAAAATAATTTAACACAACAATCATAATACGTGTTCTCTTAGTTATCATAAATAGACCAAACTCTACATTTATGACAAAAAAAATAAATAGTAAAATAGACATAACTAATTTTAATATTGGACCTAAGAACTTTTCAAAAATTTTAGGATTAGTGTAAATATATATATAATATACTATTAGTGTAAATACGAATTATGTAGAATGATAAGTTTGATTTTAATTTTAATTTTTGTTTTTAGCCATTATGATTTTTACTTGTAATGTATAGTTGTTATACCGGCGCAATAGATGTATACTATACAGGTAGTGTCCCAAATGCAGGGCAATTGACGAATACCGATATAAATAAGCATTACCAATTATAATTTATAAATATGCTTTCTGAAAATACGTCGGATATTGTCGGCGCGGAACCCGTATGGCCTGCCTCATCAAAAATAATTTCGGTGAACACCGATGAAACATTAGTAATAATACACCAGAAAGAAGTTATAAATTGACAATAAGTACATATTTTATGTGGTTTGTGCATTTTATAGTTGTTATACAACTAATATGATTGCTTTATTAATAAGTTACAAGTTATGAGAATTACAAAAAGAAAATATCGTTAAAGGCAAGGGTGTATTGGTATACGGCGTATACCCATCAGTAGATTTTCGATTTTCGGCGTACATATACCTAAGGTAAAATATTATTTTACTGGTATACGCTTCTAAAATAACTCGAAAACAAAAAAAAAAATATAATAATTTAATAGTTCATTGGAAAAAATTAATATGAATCATGAAATTTAATGAAATATTTAGCTGTTGAAGATTAGTGTACGCTGTGTATTTTGTTAATTGTAGTGAATAACATTGAATAAAATAGTAGGGAGTGTGAACATTCAGTCCATGGTTCTTAAATCTGCATAATGAAATTTATAATGCGCTGCAAATGTACATCTTGTGGTGTTATATTTTATAGTATTTATTTAAATCATTTTTATAGTCTTGATAGAAGTTATAAACATGAAGTTACAAAGGATTAATTAAATTTTTTCGAACGTATCGAGAGAAAACAATTGTCGAGCGAAGTTAGAAAATTTATTTTAGGATTAATATCCATATTTTTTTAGTGCGTATACCCATAAATATATTTACCAATATATCACTGGTTGAGAGGGTGGGGGATTTTTCCAATTTTCACCCGCCGTTTAGCTATGTAATTTTCTTTTTTTGATCACCCCCCTTTCAGAAATCATGTCTACGCCCACTGAACGGAATCATCAGTTTACGTTATTTTTTTCGCCCGCGAGCTGAGAACGCGCACGGGACACGACAGCCACAAAAATACAACAATAGTAATCATAATACATACATCGTTGGGGAAAACGTCGCGCGGAAATGCGATTATGGACTGGGCACGGCACCGACAAAAACCCATCGGAGATAATAATAGTTGCGACCGGATACGTTACCGACAACGTTCGTATGGCGCGGCGGTGAGAAGCGGAAGCAACGGCCGAGGGGGGGATTTGTCCGACGGCGCGTCGTTACGCCGTTGTTGTGCGTCGGTTTGCCGCCAAAAACCGTTCGACCCGCGTCACCCGCCCGACATCGTTTACACATCTTCCTAACCTGGCCGTTGTTCAACCGCCATCGTCCACTTCGCGCGCACTACCCCTTGTCATCCGTTTTTCCCAACGCGTTCGCCCCCGCACGCGCCACCAGGATTCGATTGCCGCTGCTGTTGCGCACCATGGCGACCAGAACGAGCACGGGCCCGTCCGGTTCCGGTCGCGAGATGTCCGAGTACGAGCGCCAGCGGCTGGAGAACATCAAAGAGATGCAAGGGCAGGTCAGTGATGTCGACCACCTCGGGTACTGGGGGTGGTTACTTGTTGCTGTCCAAACGATACGAGTCTATGGATTTCGAACACGTTCGGAATTTTTTTTTTTTTTTGTCAATCGTAGCGATCGACAACCATGACCGATCGTGCATGATAGTGATTTGCCCTCGTTCTCATTCGATTCGTAATATCGAACTCGTACGTTTTGTGAAGCTAACGCTGTGGTAAATCTTCATGGCTTTTTGACCGGTCGCTAGATACCTTGTAGTAGTCGACAATTTTTTTTTTTATTGAACTTCTCGTATTCATATAAACTCATTTTCGATATAAGATTCAATTTTTTATAATAAATACAATTCAAATTTTGAACGGTCCATTCTAAGAAGATTATAGCATAATCATTTGATGTCAATAATAGTTTATCCGATAGGTTATGGTTTATGTATTTTATTTGGTATTCTTGTCGTATGTGGTCTACCACACATGTTTCTATATGTTATATGTGGTCTACTACAAACTTGTCATCTGCCGTACATATATATATATATATATATATTTGGTCATTCATATTGATTCAACAAAGATTAATTTCATTTCATTAATATAATTACAAAAACTTCATGACCTACCATGTATCGACCCCTTAACTGTTGGCCCTGAGAAGGAAATCATCTGCAGACCATCATTTGTGCTTAGACAACTTGACACAAGGTCATTACATCCCAGTCTTTGAATCCTGAACGTAAGACAGTCGTGTGAATTCAAGCTTCTCGAATAATCCCATGTATATTTTGTATTTTTGTTTAACTAATACAAAGGACAATTATTTATCTACATCTAGTTTAGTGGCAACTTGACGGTTTCATTGAAGATGGAGCACAAATAATTCCTTCTTTTTCCACAATCATAACTTTGAAGTTAACACCAATACCTGTTGATTTTTTAATAAAATAAAATAAATTTTTGTATATGAAAACCTTTTAATATACGCTTATGAAGTACGTTGCACAACAACTAATTTCTAAAAGAAAATTATAGTTTAAAAATAAGTAATAAATATAAATATACAAATATTCAGTAATATTTTTAAATTCCAAATTAATTAGTTTGTTTATTTTCTTTTTAAATATTATGGATATTTAACATTTTGTTGATACATATGTTGTTTTTTGTAAAATATAACAAAAAAGAAATTTCGTGTTTTTTTTAATTTTTAATTATTTTACAGAGGCCATTAAATACTGTAGGCTGTTTGCGGTATAATTTTAAAGTGTTATCCAATTCTAAACTAAAATTAGTAAGTTCATGAAATATCCCTAGATTTTCAGAATCTGATTTCTCATTATATACTCTTAATTATGCCCTCAGAAGTTCAAATGTAACACAAACTATTATACAATCTATAATTTTGACAAATATAATGGTTGATGACTACAGTTTCATTATGTTTTTGTATACTAAGCCTGTAAATATTTGAAAGTTGTTGCCTAATATCTTTGTTTACCAATAAGTTAAAGATTTACATGCACATTTATATGTGTACTAATTTTAGCGTTCAAATGGGCCAAATAATTTATTTCATTTTATGACCAATTTTATCACCAAATGTTAGACCAAAAAGTACATAAGAAAAACAAAATTAACAGTTAGTTATGGAACAACCCTATAATCAATCGTATTTTGAATAAAAGTCTTTATTAAACTTCTTTTTAATTCTCTAAACTTGTTTTTTTTTAATTTGTATTGTATTTAAATTTGGTATTGGCCTACCTTCTTTTATTATTTCAACCTTTTTCTCAAGAAGTAAACTTGAAAAGTTGATATTCATTAAATGCTTGACCGTAAAACGTAGGTATGTTACCCATGATAAAAAATATTTATTAAATCTAATATTTTAAATTTATAAATATTAATTATACACCATATACTAAACAGTAAATACTTATTTTATATACTTATAAAAACGCACAGACAATAAAAAGTTTAATAAAATAAACAAAAACAATTAATTATAATCTATGATAAAATAGTTTTTGGTTTGTGCCTCAGAAGATGATTGACAATAACAATACAAAAACAATAAGACCAACAAAGTCTCGGAAATTATAATATAATAGATTCCAGGCACAATTTGATTGTTCCCAACAACTTTGTATTAATATGTGATGAAAAGTGAGAAAAATCTAGTACTATTGATCACAATTATTAGCACGAAGTTGTGATGGTCACCCAATGTCCCATATAATATAGTATGTACATATTGTACATAGGAGTACCCGTATTTGATAAAAAAAAAAAAAAAAATTCTATATTTTCAAATAATATACCAATTACCAACTATATTACGATGGAAGAAATACCTATTCATTTTTAATTTAATATAAATTCTTTTTTCTTTCAATTATGTAAATGGGGCACATGTCTGTATGCCTCATATCACAAGTCCCCACTGCATCCAGTGCTGTTATATAAAAAAAAAAAGCAGTGTCTTCTGTAACTGTACCATTATTAGGTGTCTGTTTTTGTGAAGAATATATTATTGTAATACTTTTATATATATATTGTACGGATTAAAATTAAAATAAAACATGTTTTTATCAATAATGTTTAGTAATTGTTGTATCAAAACAATATTTATATAATTAATTTAAATATATTATTCTAGTACTTGATTATGTGTAATAATAATTTTCAGTAAGATTTTTGTAGTCTAACCAAAAAGGATATTATTAATATACATAAATATTAAGTATAATTATTATTTTTTAGTCATGTACAGCAATATCGATATTTATATCAAGTTGTTACAATTTATATTTCCTATAATATTAAATTTTTTTTAATATAACAATTTTAAAAAAAATCTTACTAAATTTTGTAATTATTATTGTATTATTTTTAGCTTTATGAATTATATAATCAAATTTAAATAATAGGGGAATTTAACTTTTTTATGACTATAAGCACTAAACATTTTCCATGTCAATTAAATTTAGTAGTACTTTAATTCATTTGAATTTTTAAATACATTTTTTCTCACTTTTAGTTATTTAGTCTGCTTTGAAACATTTCAATGAATGTCTACCAAATTTAAATAGAAATGTTCAATGATATTTTTATGAAACATCATTATTAAAACCATTTTTTTGGACAATTAAATAAGTATTGAATCATAATATTTATAATTATAAAACAATAAGAAATTTTTTTTTTTTTTTATATGATTGTTATATTAATTTAAATACTGCAAGATTTTCCACCCTAGGGAGCTGCCTACTTTGCTTATAAGGGAAATTCACCTTTGATTATATCAATATATCGATAATTAGAAATATATCGTTGAGCAGTACTATTATTTTTTACTGTAGCACATTATATGGTATTTTTTGAAAAACTTAAAAGTTACATGGCTTATTATTATACACTATTACAGCCTTGTCTATGTCTTTTTAATCAGTTAAATCTCATTTTTCCTGGTAGGACAGCATACAACTTAAAAAATGTATTTATATGAATCATTATGATATTTAACCTCCACAAGTGCGGGATTTGTATGTGTGTATTGTAGCTTAGGTCTATATATTTGTATTGTATTCCAAATATTTTTGTGTTGGCTTAACACTGATTTGCTTATAAACTTAGTTTCAGAGTATGTATATTTTTTTTATATTTTATTAATATTGTATTACTAGATACCAGTAGTATAGGTAAAGAGGGTCAACCCCATTACCATAATTTTTGTTAGTAAAGAAATAGATAATATAAAAATAATCTTATATATACCCTTATATACCGAACCTTTACTCTAAATTTGTGTTAACAATGTTAAAGGTAATGTATATTAATAACATATATTAGGGTGTATAAATAAAAGTATGTAAACAATAAATAAATATAAATAATAAGTACAACATATTATATTATATTATTATATTGGTATATGACAATATTATAATGGCTCATTGTGCCTCTTCAACATATTGGAAATTTGTGCATGTACTGATAGGTAAAAGGGCAGATAGGCATTTAATATGCGTAGAAATTTTCTTTATTAAGTATTTTATGTAGTAAATACATTATATAATATTATTTATGCATGGTACATTACAGGGGCAATTGTATGTTTTGAAAGCTAGGAAATAAGATAGCACTTACTTGGTTTATTGTTGGTCTATGAGATCCTGACAGTATATAAATTATATAAGGTTGATATTAAGTGAAATGAACTCAGGATTTGATTTACTTTGATACTGAACATTCTTCGGAAAAATATGTATTTTATTATAGCAATGGACTCATAGTTGCATTGCACTAAAGTAAAAAGACAACAGATATATATATATGGAAGGCAATTAAATCTGTGTACACATACCATAGACATATGGTATATTATTGTTTATGACACAGACAGATATTTTTTATCTATGTATCCAAAGACATGGCAATTGATTGTATGGTAGTATGGTCTTTTAACTAAAGGCAGTTTTTTTGGAAGTTGTCAGAATAAAAATTACAAAGGTGTGTTGTTAGATCGGCCCTTTATTATTTTAATTTTATTTTCTATGTACATGCTGAATAATTTGTCACTTATTATTTTAATAAATGTATTATTGTTGAAAACTATATTTTATAATGCTTCTGTTTGAAAGACGATTATGCCAATTTAGATTTTAATTCTGCGTATTGAATATTTGTAATAATCCTTAAATTTTTATAAAAGGAAATTTCTTTAATTAATTTTTATTTACCATTTTTTTTTTTTTTTTTTTTTTTACAGTTCAGTGATTTATTTGATGATGTTAAACAATCAGCTGAGATTTTAGCAAAATCCACTGGTCAAATTGCTTCAAAGAATCTAGGTGTTTGTGGTAGAAAACGTAGACAGAAATCTATTGATTGTCCAAGTAATAAAAGAACTAAATCTGATCCATCAACTCCAAGTAAAACTATTGTAAGACGTTCGGCCCGCATAATAAAAGAAAATAGGTACGAATGATAATATCGTTGTTTATAATTTATTATTGTAGGTATGTTACTGGCAATATGAATAAAATACATTATGAACAACATTATTTCATATATTACCCAGGCACTTAGTAAAATATCTAGGTATTATATTAACTATTATTTACTATTTGTGCAGAGTAAGAAAATTAATTAATTTATAATATTTTAATTAAATTTAATTAATTATTTTTATTTTAAAACTACTACTTCTAGCACAATATTTGTTCTAAACTATTATGTACCTACCTATTATTTATTGATATTACCGATTTTGTATTGCTATTTATATTTATAGTGTGTAAGTGATATTTGAATAACATATTTTTAAAGTAATTACATTAGATTTAACAAATAATTTTGGTTTTTTTTCCTGTGTAGATTTTTAAAATAGTTTCTATTAACACTTCATATTTTTCATTTAATAAAAATTAGTATTATTATCTAAATATTGATAATGATTTTTTTGTGAAATGTTAACTTTATGTTCATTATTACATTTGTTTTAATGTCATGATGAAAAGGGTGTACATGGAATGAACCTATAATGTGTATCAGGGGTTTATTTATATGGAAGCTGAGTGAGCTGCAGTTCCCCTCCTACCTAATAAATTTAAAAATAAACAAAGTGTAGTAATTGTTAAAAAATAATACTGTTTGATTTTGAACCTCAACAATCAACAGTTATTATTACATTATGTATTGTGTGTATATTATCGTTAATTATTATTGTGTATATTGTTAGGTATTTTTAAAGTATACTCTAAAATCAATGATATTATGCTAAGTGACTAATTAACCATACTGCTTATAAAATATATATAAAAAAAAATAAGCCAATAGTTTAAGATACTTTCTACATACATGAGTAACATTTGATTTTTATCTTGTAAAACCTATCTTAGTTAAATTGTAGGTTAGTTCACTACTAGTAAACCACAATTCAGACCTTAAATACTTATGTATATATGCATATAGTACCTACAGTTCTTATATTTATATATGATGATAGTATAAAAATTAAAATTAATAAAAAAAATTGCATTGGATTTTTAAATTATTAAATCTTTTAAAGTTTTGAAATGGAAGTAGTTAAAATTGATTAAACACAACAATTTTTGGTAACTAAATAATGACAAATATAATATAAATAATATATATATATAAATATATTTATATAATTTTTATTTTGCATGAAAACATTGTTTAGGTTTAAAAAATTTGGTGGATTTCAAAATGGATCTTTATGAAAATTAGTTTATGACCCTTTCTAGTATAGATACTTAATAAATTATAGTTATTTTGTGACAGTTGGTCATAATCATACCCAGGACTCTGAACTTATAGCTCTTAAAATCATTAAAAAAGCACTTAAAAACATCATTATAAGTCTTTAAAAATCTTTAATTGAACAAAAATATTGAATAAAAAAAAAAATGATTACCTAAAATAAGGTAAAATAATTATTTTTTTACATTTTGTTTAAGTGCAATTAATTTTTACTAACAATAAAAATGGTTTTTAGTTGTCAGAATTTGTAGAAATTATATTTTATATTAAGCAAAGTTATTAGAGATTTACAAAATAAAAAAAAGCTCTGAAGCTGCTGTTTTCACCATGTAGCTTTCATTTAGTAAAATTTATTGTACAGTATAATATACTGTTTGTTTATTATTAACATAAAAATATACTAAAGAAATTGATCATTTAATATTGTAATTAAATTATCAAAAATTTTTAATTTAAATTAAATTGCTTAAATAAATGTACATAATGAATTTTATTTTATAGGAAATCAACAAATTATAATGAAGAAAGCGATAGTGATTCTGAAAAAACAAATAAAAAAATTCGTCATGGTTCTTTACTTATAAAGTTCCCTTGGTCCAAAAAAAATACAGCAACAGATGAGGCATATTATAGTGCTCTTGGTGATGACGATTTTATTAATGATGATGATGAAGAATATTATTATAATGATAAAAATGTAGGCATTAACTATTTAATAATTTTCATTTATTAATTTATTTTTTTTTTTTTTTTACTAAATTGATATTTGATTACATTAAATGCAGCATTCCAAAAGAACAACTCGTAGAAGTTCTGTACCTATACCTCGATTGCCTGTATCTAAAGTAACAGAAGAAATGTTAAGTAACATTACCTATAGTTCAGTGGGAAAACAGTACAGTGCCAATGGTACAACTTGTCATCAATGCCGGTAAACTAAATATTTCCAAATAATAATTAGCTATTAAAAATATATATATTAATTTGTCATATTCAAATACATTATTATATTATATACAATTATTATTCATTTTAAATGCGACGTATTTGTGTAAAACACTTCCAATAATCAAAGTATATTCCACTATCTATGTAAATAACTTAAATTGATAAAATACCTTAAAATATGGTATTTTTTCTTTGTATATATGAATTACTAATTTATATATGAATTCAAAACAAAATTAAATTCTATATTATCCAATTAATTATTAATTTGAAATTTTAATATAACTTAGTTAAAATGTCTAAAAATAGTTTTCATAATTACATAAAAGTATATAATAAGAAATAAAGTAATTAAATAAAACAAAAAGGTCTGAATGGTTAATAATCATAAATTAATACATAAATAAATGCTTAGCCTGAAGTATTATTACATTATAAGTATAAGAATGCTCTAGGTTAAGCATTTATTTATTTCTATATACAAACTATTATGGTATATAATAAGTTATAAAAAGGATATCCAACTTGGATTAATTGAAACTCACATACCTTCCCATTTTTCATTATAATATAATAAAAATCAAAAATTATATTAGGTATGAAAATTATAAATATTTTTTAGAAATTAACCAAATTTTGAATATTTTAATTAATTTAATGGCTCAATTTTTAATCAACCTAGCCATGTTTTTAGCTTATAATATACTACTTTAATATTTAGTTAAAATATTTATTTTTAGTCAGAAAACATTGGATCAAAAGTCGTATTGCCGTTACAAAAAATGCAGAGGTGTCCGCGGTATGTTTTGTGGATTTTGTTTGGGAAATCGTTATGGTGAAAATGTTGCTGAAGTATTATTAAATGAGGTAATTTTTAATAGTAAAATGTTTTATTGAATTCTTTAATTAAACTGTAACAATTATTTTTATTTGTTGATATATGTAAAGAAATGGGCATGTCCACCTTGTCGCGGATACTGTAACTGTAGCATATGCAGACGTAAAAATGGTAGAAATCCAACTGGTCAATTAGCACCAATAGCATCAGCTCAAGGTTATAAGTCTGTTAGACACTTGTTAAATAACCTTGAAGGTGAGGAATCTGAGAACAATATAAGCAGTGATTCTGAGATTGAAGATGAAAAAAATGAAAAAGAAGATATTTCTAAAATTAACTGCAACGAAGAAAATAAACATGATATTTCTAAAGGTAGCGATGACAAAGACAATGAACAAGATATTTCTAAAAGTAACAGTGAAAAAGAAAATAAACCAGATATTTCTAAAGTTAGCGATGACAAAGAAAATGAACAAGATATTTCTAAAAGTAACAGTGAAAAAGAAAATGAACCAGATATTTCTAAAGTTAGCGATGACAAAGAAAATGAACAAGATATTTCTAAAGGTAACAGTGAAAACGAAAGTGACTTTATGATTAAAAACAGAGATATTGTAATTGATGAGCAATCTGAATTGACTAACGGTACTGAAAATTCAAACAAAAAGACTGTTAATATTAACAGTGAAATCGAAAAGTCATTAGAAACAAATGATGTTAGAAAAATTGAATTGGATAGCTGTAATCCAGCAGACCTGATAGATAAAATTTATCAAGATCTTATATTATCTAAACTTGGAATAATTTAAAAAATGTAATAGTAATAGTAATAGTACCTATAGATATTAGAATATTTTTTTTCTAGTTAGATTAAGTTATTAAATATTTTAATTCAAAATCATAAGAATAAGAATTGTTATATACTGAACCATAGAAGATCTAATTTATAATTTAAATTTTTTTACTATTTCATGTATTCTCTTGATGTAAGACTCGAAATATTTTAAACATTTCCATGACCATATTTTTTTGTCAATTTTCAACTTTCAATAAATATTTAAGTATTTTTTAGAAATAACCTTAGTAAATAAAATATTCTCTAATTTTATTATTTATTTATTTAATGAGTTTTAAGATTTGTGTTTAAGAAGTGTTAAATAAAACTCTTAAATTAATTTGTACTATAATAAAGAAAAAAAAAATTATTTGCCTAAAATATCAAATGTTACAACAATTTGATTTGAAAAGTATTGTATTAATATATGCATATATAATTTTATTGTAATAGTGTAAATATATTTTTGAAAATTTTTAAATTTCTGTATTTGTATTAGTAAGGCTATTTATAAAAATATAAAGTTCAATATTGATAAAAATATGCTATTGATTTTCAAATTTAATTATCAAAACTCGCTATCTAAATTTTGTTAAATTTAACTATTATAGATATTATGGTTACAATCAAATAATTTTACTTTATAACTGTCAATTTATACTGAATTAAATATTATTTCTTTAGTATCATAATTGCATTAGAATTATTTTGAATTTCCTTTTATTTTAATATCGCAGATGATCCAAAAGAAATCTATTTTTACTTGCGAATAAACATTTTCAAATTTCAATACCAAGTTTAAATTCTCATTATTATATACATACATATTTTGAATTATATTACAAAATATTCATCTATGAATTTAGGAACTTATAATGCACCTAGATAATTATTATGTTTAATATAACAAGAATATCTATTGAATATTAAGAATATTAATATTCTGTTTGTAATCATGTGTTTGTGCATTGTAATCTAAATTAAATAAACCAAATTAGTATTTTGTTTAGAAATGAATGAATAAACTATTGAATGGATATGAAATTGTAAAGAAAAAAATCTGCCAAGTATTTCTCGTTCATCAAATGGGAAAGAAAGTACAAAATTTCCTATCAACAACACAATTCTGTAAAATTTAATAGTGACATTTGCCATTACTTCAATTTATTATTTTGATCCTTTAAACATTATTTAACCATCACTATGTATAGTATGTATTGTTATAAATGCTTAATATGTAAGTATTGTATGTTAAGCAATGCAGATATTCGGACGTCACCGTTTACTGCCAGTATAATAATATATATTTCCTTTATCCTCGACCATACATTTTTATTTTATTATATGTATGAAATTGGAACATCAGAAGGCCGCCTTTCCAATTTATTTAGCCGAAACCAATTAACAATATGTAAGGAGTCCTTGGTTAAAGTTAAAAACGTGCCACAAATTAATATTAATTTGAAGGAAGTAGCAAGAAAATGATCAAACTTGGGTGGTCGATGTTCATGTTTTCAAAAATGTAAATGTAATGCTGCAGGACGCCTTTGTACATCAAAATGCCATGGTAGTAATCTATGATGTAATTATTGACAACAACAATATAATAAATAATGATAAAATATAAAAGTAGATAGAAAAGGGGCATTCTGGCCCACCCAACACCCTCCCCTGCATCCCTTCACCACCATGTCCACTGCCACCGTACCCCGCATTCCTTCACCACCACGTCAATCGCCGCCGAGCCCCGCAACCCTTCACCACCACTTCTACCGTTAAACCTCACTCACACCCACAGACAACGCTATTTTCAGAAGCCCCCTTTTCTATCTACTTGTCCTTAATATAAATTTATAAATTTACTATATAAAATTTGTTTTTTATTTATCATTGATCAAATATTTATTAAACTAAATGTGTGTAATCACATATCATCATATGTGTTCGTTAAAATTTGTTATTTTTGTCTAAATTTTACTATTTTCAGGTAATATATATGCGTGTAATAAAATAATTTGTTGTTGAAATTATAAGGATTTTATGTAAATTATGATATTTTTATACTTTTCACTAAAAAATGTGGTATTTTCGATTAAAATTCGATGTTTTTCTATAATATATCTATTTCTAAGTATGTAATAATTTAAATGTAAGTTTTTTTTTATTTAGATAAATTATTCTGAAATTAATTAATATTAAGTTATGAGTGACAAATATTTTAATTTATTTTATAAATAATTATTTCATTCGAATGCATATCATAATCATATCATGACTAAATATGTACGTTTGATCGTATTGAGATGAATTTTCGATGTGATTTGCATACGTAATTGGTATGGAAAGTGATTACTTAATAGCTGGCTTAATTTTTATCTTGTCTTTTACTATTAACGTGTCCATAATATTTTATACTTAGCTATTTGAAGTATACGATATATAATATTTTTTCTTAGCTATATCGGATATTTTTATTAATTTCATTGATATAATTAATTTCTTATTAAATAGATTAAACATTGTACGCCGACAGGTTACATAGATATGTGTATTTCATATAGTGCCTAGTGTAAAGAACATCATATGAAACCCTAAGTATTGAAAAAATGTATTTTGTTTTGATAAAATAGTGTGATAATAATATGCACCACTAATGTCTGGCATTACACCTGTGTATCACCCAAATGTCGAACATATCTATTTATAGATATATATATTTGTCTCAAAACATTACCTTTAGCTGAATAAGGTTGTAAAAATTATCACACTTTCACCCTGAATAATATATATTAATCGTATTGATATATTAGATATCGTATTCATCGTAATGATTTGGTTAATAATAATTAAATAAAATATGAATATGTGTTTTATATTCAATGTATGTCGAAATAAGGATATAAATGATAATCGAGGCATGTAAAAAAATAATACGTTAATTATATTTTCAAACAATTTATAATATATTTCAACATAATTTTATAATATCCAAGTACAAAATATATCATATTATACAGAAAATATTTACAAATACGAAATAATATGCAATATAACAAATATTACTATATATACAAGAAAAATTTAATCACACTTCGGTATCTGTCAGCTGCATACGATCGTGTCCATGAGCGTATGTATTTATTCTATCGAGTTGTATTACACGCTTGTCATCTTGTCTGTTGAAACATAATTTCTTGGATTTTATCGTTTGTAACTCAAGGTTGTATGATCTGATAAAGACATTTTCTCTATAAGGATCAAATTCGACTTTTTCCTCATCGTTGGTGAAAAGACAATCTATATGATCTTTGAATGTCATATGATTTTTTACCAAATGACCTCGAATGCCTTTTGCTTTGATTTTTTTCTTTGTTATCCAAAATATATGCGTACGATTTTGCTCGTAGGGCTATAAATTCGGTCATAGTGCGCCTATCTGTCTCGTCGGAAAACAAACCAGGTATTTTCTTACGCGATGAAGTATAGCATGAATGTTCATGGGGTAGATTGAAGGTGTCCATGCACTCTAATAAGCCTGGCTTGTTAAGCAAGTCATCGTAAAAGTTTTCTGTTGTAATATGATATATAAGAGAATCTGTATCCGTGTACATCAATCTGAGGTTATTTCCAAAATGTTTTTTCATTGTGTTGTAGTGATAATCATACGTTAATGATTTAGATACATCAAGCACTGCAAAACCGATATAAATCGGTTTGCAAAATTTGATTATTTTATTTTCCATCGAGACGGCGGTTAAATTATCATTATAGGTAGTGCAATGTTTGAATGTTGTTTTATTTATTAGTTTTCGCAATCTTTTTGGACATGACACTAGTTCCATTTTTATACATTTCCTCATCGATTCCATGGTTTTACCAAAAACTGCATTATATAATAATTTGAAGAAATCTTTTTCAAAGTCGTTTACAGCTTTTTTCCTCATTTCAGTGTTTAAATTTATGTATTTTGCAAGCCATGCCGATTGTTGAAACTCTAATGTAATTAAAATAATAAATAAAAATAATAATTAAATAAAAAAATAAAATAATAAATAAAATAATAATTAAAACTCTATGTACTTTTTTTATGATTAACCCATTTGATATTGCCTATTGTAAATTTCTATAGTGTATGATATAGTTATTTTTTTCTTCGAGTGTAACCATCAGTTTTTTAACTTTTAAACTAGGAAGAATTTTGTTCTCGGGTAAAAATGGAAGGTCGTTGTGTTCATCGTGTAAATCTCGAGAATACGATATATCCACTTCATACACTCTACTTATATCTGAGGTATCTGTCAATGTTTCCAAACCAACTAGCGTAGGCTCTATCCATTTGAACCCGTCGTATGGCATGTATTGTGACATTGCCCACCCATATAAATTATTACAATTTTGATAGACTAACCATGATTTCGGTTTCGTCTCGTCATAATCCGAAGTATTTTCATTATTAGCTTTGGCGTACCTCATACTAGCTTGTGTGAGACCACCGCGGATTGAATTTTCGAAAAATAGGTGGGTTTCATAATCAGAGAGCAATCCTAGTTTGATGTTGGTGTATTTTAACATACAGTCAAAACTAAAACCTTGTGCTGTGGTGTGTAAAACCATATGCTTTATTATGAACAATAATTGAATATAATAAAAATATGAAAAATAGACTAAATATTCTCTAATGTCCAAAATATTCAAAAATATGCAAAATAAATGTTTTCCTACGAACTCTATGATGGATAAATCGTCCACATTTTTCAACCTAGTGAATCTGCATAAAGCCAATAAAAATACATAAAAACTTAAAGATCCGCTCTCTAGGCATAACTATTTAAGGATCCATTAAAAAACTAATTTTCATTATTTGTTATTAAGATTTTATTTTATTTTATTTTTATTTTTAATTTTTAACATTAGTCTTGGTATCATCGATCGGTCACCTTTTCGGCACCCACCGAGTTATTGGCTAATTTGTGTACCTATTTTACCTTTTGTGTGGTTTGCCCGAATGGCCGTCGGTAATCTGTTCTACATATTAAATTGCTAATGTGATTTTAGTGGCTAGGTTAAATTAAACGGCTTTCGATTAAATTTAAGTGCGTAAGCAGAAATATAAATTGAAAGGAAAAACAATTTTTGGTTTTACAGATAGGCAAAATATTTTTAATTTTAAATATATTTTAACGTTCACTGTTCATATATTAGTAACTATGAAAATATAATACTATATCGTATAATATAACTATAAGTAGCTCATATTATTTTAACGATGCTTGTAAACGACCGATGGTTGCTATCATGATCGTTATGACAACTCGATTATTATCCGGTGTTCAATTTATTCAATATTATTATTTATTGTTGCCGTCCGCACGCAGATTTGCTACCTCTTCATACATTTTTCAAGTAAGCTGTTTTTTTATTGACTAACCTGAAATTTAGTATGGAAGAGAGAAAAATGGCTAAACGTAAAGTATATGAAGAAAATGAACGTAAAGTGTTAGAAATCGCTTGTAAAAAGGAGAAAGTCAAATTTTTGTTGTCCAATATGAAGGGAAAATTCAAGCAAATAATATCTGATAGTAAGTTATTAACACAACCGTTTCCTAGAGATTATTTTCAGCTCGACGAGAAGTTCAGCGTATTACCCGTAAAAGAAAAACGGTCTGAAGCTAAAAAGTTACGTTTGAATTTGGAGTTGGAATACGAAAAGAGCCTGTTAGGTCTACAACAAGTCAATTATTTTGTTGATCGAAGCATAATACCGAAATTAAAAGTCGAGGGAATTTTGTAAGTGTGATTTCGATATGTGTATAGTACATAAGTTTATAAATAATTAAAAAATAAAAAATAACGATAATATAAGTGGTAAACAAGTCTAAAATGTTTCGTTCGTAGAGAAGACAAATTTGTGAAAACATTGGTAAACCGCGAATCGCATCGAAGCATATTCCATGGTTTATTGGACGAATTATTGTCTAAAAAGCATCCGAAACAACAGTGAGTATTTAATAACAATCACTATAAGGTGACAACCGCATTTTAATGCCAAATGCGATCACGTCGTGTTCAATGCGACGATTCGTGAGATGTATAAGTGCAGATTTACATAAATCCACCGCGGAAGCGAAAGCAACAAATACACAGTGGCAGCATTTACGCATTTACGACTTTATTTTGCAGGCAACAGAAATCGTCGATCGCAAATATGGAACCCGACGTGGTTCAAAAACCGAACGAAACCGAAATGTTTCTCCGGAGAGTGGATAAAATATACTCGTCCTTACCCCCGGCGATTCAACGCGCCATAGAAAAATTAAGAAACCGTGTGAATTTCGAAAAAAATATAGCAACGACTATCGAAAACATACGTCAAGAAAAACTCACGTGTTTTGCTACCGACGACGAGTCCTCGTTGAAGAACCATAAGGAATCTTCCGACCTGCTTGGCGAACAAACGATTTCAATGGAAGATAAATTTGAAGCGTACATGTACGTCATAGACAAGGTCCGCGGTCTTGAATTGTTTTGAACGTACAGTTGATGTTGCGCTGATTACTTATGTTTTTCATTTGATGATAAATAGATGGATAACTCGATATCGGCTTTCAACGAAATGGTTGTTCATCTGAGAGAATGGAAAATGAGTGTGATACGCGATTATAAACAGTTCAACTTGGACATTGCATTGATAAACCATGAACTGAACGATCCAAAAATAATGACTCCGTCAGATTTTCCTGTTCAGCTGTTAGACGAAGCCTTTACCGTAAGAAAAGAGTTTGTATTTTAGCGTCGAATCGCGTGTTTTGCATAGTTCTAGTAAATTATTCTTAGATGTACACACATCATGGAACTGTAGTCTAGAAAATACTAATTATTCAACCCACAAATGTCATTAATTTTATTATTATTATTATTATTATTATTATTATTATTATTATTATTATT